ATTGGTATTTTTAGCGTGATATGAGAACACAAAGCTTGATGCGATTTGGAAGAAACGATCCAGGACACACTGCAGGATTTATCAGGTAAAATCTAAATCTAATCTGTACAAACGTAGTAATACCAATAAATTTTGAATTTGTACAAAATTTGTTAGAAAAAATAATGTCTGATGTAGTATTATTATATCGTTCTCAGATTTGGTAGAAGTCTGTACCCCAAAGACAAATACTTGGTCCTCCTGAGGCATAAAGATGCCGAAGTCGAGAACCCTGTCGAAAATTTGGATAAAAGCGATAAAACTGATAAAATTGCAGAAAATGAAAGTACTGAATCCAAACAGAACGAGGAAGTCGTCAGTGTACCTTTCTACGGGGTAAGATAAAAAATATGAAAAACAAAAGTATTTTTTATATATTTAATTTTTTTTTTCAGAAAAATCAAAACGATCTTTCACTCAAACCGACTCGTCATATAAATAACGACAGTTTCATGAGACTGGGAAGAGATCCTGAGATTTCTGATTTCTTCTCAATTCGAAACCAGATTTTCAACCAGGACGACCGATTTGGAACCCGGACAAGATTTTCGAAAAATATGGAATGATTTTGATTCTACAAAAATGACATGAACAAATTGCCAATATGTTGACTTGTGCTAACTAAATAACGATTCAGGTCAGAAGAGTGCTAAAAAATAGTGAATTCATTTATTTATTGTTAAAACTGTGCAAAATTCTTATCCAAATACAGTAATACCTCATTTAACCCGGCGAGCGTAAAGCAAAACAGCGCTAAACGAGACATACATAGCAAATCTGAACGTGTAAATAATGGGCTTATAGGAACGATCTCAAAAAGCTCTTCAGGGCGTACCTTTTAAAATTAACATTTAATTTTTGAGATATTTTTCTAGCATACTAAAATTGCTAATACTAATGCAAAAACGTAAATTAAAGATGATTTTATATACACGATTTTAGGGAACTCTTCAGGGCGTACCGTGTTCACTCAAAACTTGATTTGTCCCAGAATATTTTTTTAGAAATGATTATTATAATATGAAACACAAAATTTATTAATATTGTTGCTAAAACTTGTATTATAAAATTGCCTAAAAATTGTAATATATAATAACGTTTTAAAAGACCTCTCCAGGACGTTCCTTTTGGCCTGATACTTGATTTGTGCATAATTTTTTTTTCTGATATGTACATTTTAAAAACAAATACCAAATTTCCTGATATTGTACTTAAAACGTAAATTATAAATTTAAAAGAGCTAAACCGAAACAGCGTTAAACGGGGTATTACTAATTATATTGCCAATAAAATTTGAACTATCCGAGTACTGTTCTGATCTGATACCAAATTTCCAAAATTTTAAAACAATCTAGTCAGCCAATTAATAAGAATAAATGTTAAATACTTTTAAAATGTGTTACTTAATGTGTGCCAACAAATTTTATGAATGTATGAGATTCCTATGAGAATATATATATATATATATATATATATATATATATATATATATATATAATAAATAAATTATAAGTGTCTATGAAATTAAAATTCAAATTTTTAATGTTCAACTGAATTGAAAAAAAATAAATTATATATCTGAATATGTAAATTGACTAACGAAAATAAGAAATTTTATTTTTGATTTGTCCAGAATTTTATGTTTCGTTGTTTAATTTAATACTATTTATTATTTTCAGCCATAAAAAAAATCTCCCAGAATATGTCAAAGCAGGTTTAAGTGCATTTGCATATCTATATACTATACATGACACATATCTAGTGTTTTCATCACTAACAAGTTAATATACTTTGCCCAATTTTGAGGTCAAACGATTCAGAATGACAAACATAAAATTAGCAAATCCGACTTGCTGGTAAAAACATTCCTTATTAACTTCGGAAAGCTAATAATTCTTCCTATAAAGACAAATTTACAATTTCATGACTACATCAATCACTTACAAATTCATTGGTAGAAATTAAACAGCTCTAAATATTTAAAATTTTAAGTCTTAGAATGTGAAATACAAAAAATACTGAATAAACAACATTTATAGTTGCAGAATCAATAAACTAATAAATCGAGGCATAAAATAATAATTACTATAAGTTCAACCTAATTAATTAGGTTGTAAAATTAAAAAGAAATAGTGACGGTTGATTTCAAGTAAATCCCTAATAGTAATAACTAGGAAATAATTTGTAATACAAGTTTAAAAATTCATCAGCCAGTTTGTATCAATTTATTTACTTAATATTTTAGTAAAGCATAATTGAAATCATTACGATGGAGACCCCAAAAGTTATCAAAATGATCCAAAACGTGGTCTATTCGAATGACCCATTGATTTGAATAATAATAATTTAAATCAATATGATGGAGACCCCAGAAGCTGTAAAAATGATCTATTCAAATCACCCATTGATATGAATATTTGCAGGATGAAAAACGTCAAATAGCCACCACTGACTTGGCACATTATCAAGTGGAACAGAAGGAAACTATATGTGAAGAAAAAATATAACAATCTATAAAAAAAAGATCTATTATAGAAACTCCATTATTCAGAATAGTCTTCATAATGAAAGACAAGACTCTTAGAACAATCTTTGTCAACAACAGCAATAACTATATAATATGTCCTAAACTTTTGTCTGATGATTATTACTCATTCAATTCAATCTCTTACAATATATTCCAAAAATAAAGCCAGCAATAAAATCTTTAGCGTATCAGACAAATTTATTTAATTATCATGTTAATGATTCAGTTATAAGAAGTACAAAATGGCACATCGAAAAACTCAATTCAATAATGTTGATTTAAGGAAAACATTGTGTAACTCTAATTGCTTTTGAATAGCTTGTTGAGATAGATATACATGTACAATATCTTTGAATAAATAATAAAGTATAAGTTTGCCATCAAACCATTGCCATGCATAAAATTTATCTTTTATCTAGAAGTAAATATATCTAATAAATTACATCTACCCACTGACCTTTACAGCTGCAAGTCACAGACAAACCTCTTGTAATAACAGCCTCGAATGCTCTAGAAGACTGCCGAGAGCACCACACACCAACTACAAAACTGCCATTGAAACCAATATGGGATTTGATGAAGTACTTTAACAGCAACTACTGTATCTACTGGGCCAGCGTGATGGCAACTACAGGTGCTCATTTAATATTCTGGCTTGTATCGGGAGACCCCATTGGTATACCTGTAAGAAATATAAGAATTTTAACCTAGAAATAATAATGGACTATGATTTTTTTTTAAATTCGATATAGAAAGATATTTGTATTACGTTCCAAGTATTGAGTAGCGTATCCAGAATTGAAGAAATAATAATTGATAACAAATCGTACTAATTTTTTGGATAATGAAAAAAATGTAATGAAAATCCTAACCTCAAAATTATACCCGCAAAAAAAGATTATTTTCGAATGTCATTTATATATGTAAAGATATAATGAAACTTCGATACACAGAGATATTTATATTACTACGAAAAAATTAAATAGCATTTTAAATACCATGAAATGTGTAATGGCGGCCGGCAAAACTTCACAATTCTTTTTACTGCGCAATTGAAGGCTATAATACTTGTCAACACATAATAACGAATTTTAACCATGCTTGGCACATTAAATATTACATATGTGTAATATAAAGAAACACTGAAAAGCATTATAATTATAATTATTAATAAAACTGTCCCTTTTTGCAAATAACTGTGTGATGCGCTCGGTGGATATTGACAAACTAGGAACAATTTTGCATAGAGGCGCTGCATGCGCTACACTTATTGAAAATGCGGCAGGATTTTTAAACTGAAGTAAATTTTCGAAAATTATGAAAAAATCAATATATATACATTTATATATCCAACTCGCATACAAACCAAGACAGTTATGCAATATATAATCATGTATAAATCAATATATATATTTATATATCCAAATCCCACATTAACTACAGAGTTGGGCCATATATAATCATATATAAATCAGTATATACAATTATATATCCATTTCCTATATAAACTAAGCCAGTTAGGCAATATATAATTATGTATAAATCAATATATACATTTATATATCCAATTTCCATACAAACTAAGGCGACTATCCTGAATTTCAGAATAAGTTCTAAATTTGAATTTTGGAAATTATTAAGTTACAATAAGAATTGCAAACAGAATTTCTTAAATTTTCAAGATATATATATATATAACTTTCCATTAGCTGAAAAAGATTAGCAAATATAAAAATAAAATTCAATAACTAATACAACAATTTTCTCTTATTAGCATTCGTAAAGCAATTTATTACAATATTTGTGTATAAAATAACTGATTTGTACGATTTGTATAATAAGCATACTTAAAATCTATTTATATACATGTTCATATATACATCACTTTTATTTTTACAACAAATCCTTCTTTATTATCCACTATAAGGAATGTTTTAAAACTAAAATCAAATTAAAACTTAACATACTTATAATCATATAATTATTTCCTTAAAAATGAACTAAAAATGAAATAAAACATTTTAATTATAATTTCTAGTATGCAAAACTAGATAAAAAGTTAAATTATATCAAATAACAGTCTTCGCAAATTAAAATAATATGTAAAACTTAAATGTAAAATTAATATATTAAAATTATCAATATATGTAATATATATTGTATACATTATTCATCAGTTAGTATATATAGTAATTAAATTAATTTAAAATCTTTCGATTTAGTCTAAATATTTAAAATTGCATAAATCATGATTTTAACAATATATACAAACATATTTAGTGATATTTTATATGTATATTTATACATATTTAAGTAAAATAGTTTTTTAAATTGCACACAAGGTCTATTAAATTATACACATTTAGTCATTTATAATATTTACACTAAAAATTTATTATAATTAATTTTAATATATAAAATCTTTTAAGCTCTTTAAAAATAATCTTCATTTTCCTAATGTGTTTTTTTGTTATCTATTTAACTACTACTCACCACTTTTTGTTACGATAAATGTTGTTATTTTTGGTTTTCTTAATTCATCCATTTTTTACAATTTGGAGCCCCACACATACATGAAATTTTGTGGGCGTCGTCTTCAATATCGAATTTGTAATCGTAAGCCAACTGTAAAAGAATTATAAAGTTTCAATACACGAGACAATAAAATAATTAATGCAATATCATTTAAATCACGCTTGCAAAAGAATTACTGAAAATGAAAGACTGTTAATATTACCTCTTCTCCCCTGTTAATCCGCCTCTTAGCAAATATAATAATCCTGACTTCTCTGTCGACTTCAACAATTTCTGCCACACAATTCGGGTTGCAGGAGTGGTTGATGTATCGGGCAAGGCCCCCACATAATGTTGCATCAATCACACGATCCTCGTCGAGTCTGAACATGTATATTCCTCGATTCTGTAACAGTAATAAAATAATAAGTCTCATAATCGTATTTATTAATTAACACACTATAGGCGGTCCCCGTAAAAACACTAGCCAGAACAAACTGATATGTATAGCGGGCGAATTGTAAGTTTATTGCAACTTAATTATACAATATTTCAATATCCAAGTGAAAAAAACTATTTCAACTAGCTTTTAATAAATTTTATCTACTTTTTGCTAATGTAAAGAAATTAATAAGTCCGAAATGAAAATCAAAAGTTATTTGAAGAAAAGTAAAAAATGTTCTAAGAACATTCATTGCAAGTGTTCAAAGCCCTAAAGTCAGCATTTTAACTACGAATTATTCAAAATTTTAATATGTAAGTGTAAATAATAGGTTATACCAGGTTTTAGTAAAATTTATTTAGTTTTTACTGAAGTATATAAAACAGCGGCCGCAGAAAAAATTCCGAGATATTCAAAGAAATGTTAGAAATTGTCCAAAATTCACACATTGCTAAATACTGGTCTATTATGAGAAAAACGTTCCAACAACTTTTATTTCATATTGATTGTATAGCTGTATACAACAGTTTTGTCAAAATTTTAAAAAGCAATCAAGCTTATACTAAAGTATACACATCAAATATTCAGATTGAACGATTCATGTTGTCTTAGAAATTTCATAACTTTACATATTGCTAATTATCAGTATACTAAACTAGTAATTGCTGGAACTTCCCGTACCGTAATGAAATATTCGAAAAAATTTAAACAAATACTGTAACTTTCATTATTTTTGCTATCTTGTTAAATCTGAGCAAATCAAATGTAAATCATAAATCAATCAATTTATCTCCAGAACATTAACAATCGTCATTTCAGTTGCCTAATTTACACAAAATTGAAAAAGTGCTCCCGTATAGTCACAGTCTAAACTTATTTGCAAATAATTCTGTGCGACATTTTCACTTACACTGTGCTTAGCTTGGCGACATTTTTACATTTTTTAAATCCAAAATTACAAACATATTTTATGTAAAATAAAAAAAAATGTAATAATTTTCTATGCTCAAAAGTAATTGTTTTGTCAATACAAGCAGAAAGTTTCTTAGATCATTCAAGCTTAGTTCACTCAAAAGCTCTGTATTTTCAAAATGGCTGAACCTGCCTTTGCCAAAAACTAATCACCACTTCTCCCCGTCATTAGAAATTAAATGTATTTCAGATCATTCACATCCAGTACTCCGTTCTCTCAAAAATTCGATTTGTATTTTCTGCACTCTTTGCTCCATATCTCCGTAACGGCTGGACCTGCCTTTGCCAAAAACTAATCAGCACATCTCCCTTTCAATAGGGATCGAATGTTTTTTTGAATCATTCAAATCGATTGATCCATGCGACCGAAAACGTGGACGAAAATTTGTATTCATACATACATACATGCACACACACACAAACATCCATTTTTTCTGAGGTATGCCAAAAAGTTCAGAAACCTTCAAAACGTCGAGAAATGCAAAAAATTTCATTTTCGACCCTTTACTACAAGTACCCTACAGGAAGTTAATAAATTAAATACTATAACACTAAAATAAACGACAAAAAACTAAATCAACTGAATTTAAACAAAAAATACAAGCAATTTCTATAATAATCATTATTAATCTTACCCTGGCTTCATATTGCTTTTCCCTGATTTCAGATAACTCATGTCGAATCACCTCACCAATATATTCGATAACCATTGTATGTTTTTCAATGTCGCGTGCAGCGTACAATCCAAGTCCCTGAATCTTAGACCTGGGTAATTTTTTAATAAAACATTTAAAACTAAAATACTACAAGAGTTAAAATCAAATTATATTGTCGGATTATATTCTTATTACCTGGCAAGAAATACGTTATTCCTCCAGTCCTGTTTCATTTTCTTATACTGTGAACTTTTGCTGTGAACAAACTGTTTGCTGTATGGGCAAGTGGCCTCACCGGCCGACGAAAGGCTACTCGAGATGCCCAAAGGCATTCCTGATGACATATTTGACGAACTAGAGGACGACGTCAGACCAGACGATGAGGCTGAAGTCATTCCTGATGCAGAGCCGCTGTGCCCTGGTGAGCGGTGACTAGAGTAGGAATTTGACGATGTGTTTGTGTTGGAGTTACCTGAAAAAAAAGAAAGGTTTTAGTTAATATTTACAAGTAAGTATGTCATAAACAACAAATTGTATGCTTTCATTTGTAATCTCTCACCTGCAGTACGTTGTGTATGAGGTTTTTTCCAGCAGGCCTGCTGTCTGCCCCTAGGTTCAGTTCTTGCCGATCCACTTGGATTGATAGCTAATGGTAGCTCCAATAAGGGGTTCCTTCCATACTTGAAGCGATAATCGGTTAATGTCTCAATTCCTGCAAATTGAACAAATCTTATATATATAAAAATGAATCGCAAAATGTGTTGGTAAGCGCATAACTCAACAACGCCTGGACCAATTTGGCCAATTCTTTATTTAAAATGTTTATTGAAGTCCAAGGATGGTTTTTACAATGAGAAAAAATTGAATAATTGCCGGAAAAACCCCAAAACCAGCCCTTTTCTTTTTCTCATACAAACGTTTTCTAACTAAAATGTAGAATCAATTTGAGCTTTATTACTATTATATAAAGTTCATATTAAATTACAAGCACTAACTGTATACTCCTTCTAAACGATTATGCAAATTTTGATAAATCTTTCTGAAGTTTGTTAAGAAAATTTTCTATGATGTATGTGTTTATAAAGTACTGGGATGTATGTGCAATATTGTAGAAATAAATGAAAAAAATTGCAAAAAACAACATGTCATTGTTTGCATTGAAATCAAACGAAAACCATCATCTGCCAAATATTTATGAACCTAGACAATATTAGAATATGTATAATAAATTTATGATTATGAATACGAAATATAAAATGTCTATATTATTATTGCCAAAAAGCAGCTGAGTACAGTATATGTATGGCAAATTGAATTATTCACATATGAACAGGATATGACAAATTAATTCACTTAAAATATGAAATTAAGTATTAATCAGGGCAAGACCTACCTTTAATGCGATTCATGCGAAAAATACGAGCGCACGCCTTAGGGGGCACCAACACAAGATTCGGATATTAAATTTTCAATATAGTTTTTCAATATATAATTTCTTTGCATCTTTTACTAATCTTTCCACAATATTTTTAAAATCCGTAAAAAAATTACTTTATAACAACAAATGGGAAAGTAAAGATGAATACATACAATTCGGCCCTCACGATATCGATTAGGAGAAGTTTAAGATGCAATTTTGGATATCTTAAATAATAAAAAATTAATTTAATTTAATCCAACATGAAGTACCAGTTTTATGTTATAGTTATGGTTATTTTATACCGTTTAAAAGACTTCAATTTCGAATATAGTTGTGGGAATTGAGACTCATCATTTTATTTAAAGCAGTTCTACATTTACCATCGCTCATATTATAAATGTATATACATTTCAGCGTGAAGAGTAATTTAAAAAACAATGATTATTATTTTTAGGTAAGCGGGAAATATTAGTATATTATATTAAAAAATTGTAGGCATGGGCACAGGACAACGTCTGTCGGGTCATCTAGTTGTGAAATAAAATTATCTAATTATTGGCACAGTTAAAAAATGTTATTTCCCTTACCTGGTAAACTTTCGAGTACTCGAACAACAGCTGGCTCAGTAAGTCCAAACAAATCTTCACCAGTGACGTACTTGGGAAACAGACGAACTGAATCGCCCAATTCCCTTCTCATAGCGGCCAATGGCTCCAGAATTCGATTCCAAACAGCCCTGTGTGAACACAAAACAAAAACATTTAAGGCATATGCAGGGGAAAAAGACAACCACCATTATAACTAAAACAAGTAAGGGAGTAAAGCATATTTAATGATACTATTTTAAAGCAGAACGTATAATTGGTATGGAAGTTGGGGAAGTTTATAAACAGAAATTATTTTACCTTGGTGTAGCATCTCTTAGTTCAATATCATCCTGTTGAGGTTCTTGAACGCGTACTCGAAATTCTGGACGTCCAGCAACATCAGCTATTGAACAAATATATCTGAAAACAGAGGCACTAAAATGTTACATCCGAAATAATTGTATTCCACCATTTAAATCAAATCTTTTATTACCTGCACCGTTTATTCGGCCTCCTCATCGACCAGTAAAATCTGACAATCTGATACCCAATCGGATAGATGTAATTCGGCGTGTGGAACGACTGCAGCTGATGCGGCAGCAATTGACCGACATTTAAGAATATCAAACTGCCAACTCTCAACAAATTATTCAGATCAGAATGGTGCATCACGGAGGCAACTTGCCTATTTTCATCCCTATTTATATAAACTCTGCGCTGGACTGATAGGGTTGTCAGCTCATTGTCTTTCTCTCCTTTGGGGATGTGGATAGAGCAATGGGCAGTTTTGTTTTTGAAGAATACACAGCCGTCTTTGACTGCACAGCCGAGGTGATAAACGCTCGTGCAGCGGGTCTTGAAGCACCTGATGGTCGCACCGTTTTTCTCGCAGATTGTGCAAATTGTCTGCAAACTTTCCTGAAGAAAAATACAAATGTAAGATAAATCATTGCTAAGTACAGTAAAATTAATGCTGCTTCTATTTGATGGTCTTTTATTGCAAGTCGAGTTTCAAAATATGAGTAAAATATTGAGAAAAAAAAAGTAAATTAGCAAAACATACCAGTTTAGATGCAAAAATGCTTTATTAGATGCATAAAGCTAAATTATTAGTTCAAAATCACCAAATCTCAAACTACATTGCATGGAAACACAGAAAACTTAATTATCCAACTGAATTCAAATTTAACTTGTTTTTATTACTATATCTGTCCATTTCTTACCTGCAATGCTTGCTCCACATTCATCAAAGCCCCATTGACTGTCTCATACACTCCATCAGACCACAACGCACAATTCAGATGAACCCATTTATCAACATCAAAATTCAGAAGCCTGGCTGGACCATCAGCCACACCGTCTCCTATCTGATGGCAAAATATGCATTTCCTCGTATCATCAGGCATTTTGCTAGGCATCACAGTGACACCAACTCTGAACAAAAGTTCCATGATCTCTCTATCGTTTGGTTTCTTATATTTTTGAGTGGGGTGAATGAAACCTTGAAGCCATAAACGATACCTGAAAAAAAAATTGGATGTTTAGAAACATTGAGGAAGCGACAAGAATAAATGACAGAGTCCTTTATTACCTCAATCCCTTCCATTGTTTGGCTGGCGGCATGTCGAGTCCAGAATCTGTGTTCTTCCTTGGCCTCTTAGCAGCTGTTTGTTTTTCAGCTAAACTTGTGCAACTATTGTCATCAATATCATCAACTGCCATTTTCTCATCTTCAGTTAAACTCGACGTATCCATCTTTTCTTCTTTGATATCCGGTTTTGTGTCTTCGGCGTTGTTCGATTGGTTGAGAACATCTTCAATGTCCATAATGCCATCATCTGTGATAAAATTAAAACAAATCAAATAAAATGAGCATACCTCCAGCTCAGTATTATATTTTATTGTACTCACTCGAATTGATCATGTTAGTCATCAAAACTTTACTGTCACAATCAACAGATTGATTGCCGAGTGTCTTCTCATCCAAAATACTTGTGGGACGCCACTGGAACTGTTTGTAGCAAGTCTTGCTGCAGAAATATAAATCTTCAGGATCATTGATCAGATCACGATTGTCGTCATTTGGAAGAAGAGGAAACTCTGAAGCTTTCGCTCTGATCAAACTATTAAGAATTACCACATCGCAATGTCTGCAGAATTTGGCAGTACCATTCAGTATAGTTTGGATATCAATGGGAGCTGCAAAAATAGATGGATTATATAAAGAAAAATAACATAAACATCGATTATAAATGTTTTAGTGTCTGAATATAATTGTACCTCCTTCTTTTCCATCTTTTCCTCTCGTCCTATACAATCCCAATTTCTGGCTGGGTGGTGTTCCGGTTCTTTCAACAATTTGATACCCTGTTGGAGGCGGAATGTGCAGAATGCCAGCCAAGTCTTTCAAAACTCCCAAAATATCTTCGGCTGCATCCGAAGTTAGTGTTAAAGTGACTGTGACGTTATTGCCGTCGTCCTTCTTCTTATTGTTCATGATGTTGTTGAGATTGTTGTTTTTCAAATTATCTTTGGGAGCTTGATTCTCCTAAAGAAAAAAGATAAAGTTATAATTTCTTCAAATGTTTGAACTTCAATCTGTTGTTGAAAGCTTATTTTTTATTCTAGATGATTTATACCTTGTCTTCATTAATATTTGTACTCCATGGTGTTTTGTAAGGCACTCCAGGTTTCAACCTGATAGGAATAGGTGCTATAATTGGTATAATCGGTGACAATCTCCTTTTAGCAGTACGCCCATTTAAACCTTCTTGTTCCGATTGCTCTGATTCATTATCATCAATATACTTCAAACCTGCCAAATAGAAAAAACAATATATTGCACATAAATACTAGAGATAATACTCACATTATTTTTTTTACCAACCTGGATATTTGTCTTTTTTATTTGATCTATTACTGTAAAGTATTGATTATTGTCTAAATCGAGTGTATTTTCAACGTCATTTGGAAATTCTGGACTTGAAGAACTTATTATGGAATCAGGTGTGTCAGGACCTGGATCGCGAAGACAAATTTCCATTCGGCGCTCTTCGTAATCATGTTCGAATTTTATTGGGCTGAATTCCTGTTGCAAAAAGATTACGATTTGAAGATAAAATATCAAATGCATGCAAAAAGCGAGCATTAGTTAATAGTTAAAATCTTACCTGATCATAGAACATTCTCTGAGTTCCTCCTGCCGATGTCAATGCTCCATCTTTTTCACAAGCCGCGGCGGGTAATGCCTTATCGCCGAACGGTTTGCTATCATATCTATCAGGAACACCAGGCAAACGTGCAGATCCGAATTCGCCAACCAGGTCGCCTCGTAACGAATCATAGTCTTTGACTAGACAGAATTTAGATAAATCACCGGCGCCATAAGGCGGGCAAACTGCATAGTTCCTAGACAACAAACAACAAATTATATAACGACAATGAATTTTAATAACTAGTTGGTTTGGTATTTAGCCTTGAGGCAAGTTACATGAACTTCCCGATATGTGTAATTAATCGACTTAATCAATGAAAAATAATTTAATTTATGAGTGATTAGAAGTATTCCGAGTGGACTTATTACACATGATTGAAAACGAACGAACACTTTGACTCGGAGTATTTTCTAATAGCAAATTTTCAAAAATCACCAGTTTCAAATTGAACCAGTTTCCATAGGACTTTAATGGTTTACTATGTTCATTAAAACCAAGTACTCATCGTTATACCAAGTAAATCGTCTAATTTTAATTTTAACAAACGTCAAAAAAACTACTCATTTTCTTAATCTTTAATTAATTTTTAAAATTAAACTACTTTTCGTAAGGCCGTGATATTTCAGTAAGTTCTATAATACAAAATATATCGCCAAATAAAGTTCCATGAAAATTGGCTTAATTTTTTTTTCAACAGTTAATTACAAGAAAACGGCTCGGTAGATTTTCACCTAAAACTAATCAGTATCATTTCCAACTAATATCCTTCGAACAGTTTTCGATTTTTTAAAATCGATTCGGTAGTTTGAGCTTGAATGTGGTCGAAATGTTTAACACTTATTTGCAAATTACAAAGAAACGGCTGGTCAGATCGTCTCACAAAACTGACAATAGTTCTCATTGAGATACATCAAATGGCTTTTAAATTTCTGAAATCGGTTCAGGCTTTTTTGAGAAAACGTCGATCAAAGATTTAATTTTGTCAAATGTCAAAGAAACGATACTAATTTTTGCAAACTTTGACGATTTTTCAAAATTAAACGACTTGTCGTAGGGCCGTAATATTTTAGTATGATCTACAAGACTATAGTATCTACCGTCAAAAAAAAATCATAAAAATCGTCGAAATGTTTTTTTTTTTAAACTTTATTACAAGAAAAGGACCCGGCCGATCTTTACCATAAACTAATCAGCACGATTCCCAATCAATATCTATCGAACGGTTTTTGAATTTTCAAAATCGATTCAGAATTGCGGGCTAAAACGTAGACGAAATTTTTTTCACTTTTCTGCGATTTACAAAGAAACGGCCCGGCCGATCGTCGCACAAGATTGAGAAACGCTAGTCCTCATCGAGATACATCGAATGGCTTTTAAATTTTTGAAATCGATCCAGCCGTTTTTGAGAAAACGTCGATTTACGGCAAAAAATCTGTTCACGTACATACACACACACACACACACACATACATTTTCCAAATGTTGGTCTCATTCGATTCAGAATGGCTTGAAACGTCGAGAAAACATAAAATTAGCAAGTCGGATTTTTTGATGAAAACAAACTCCTTCGGGAAGTTAATAGTCCGATTAAAGTCTTTTATTATAAAAATTACCTGCAATGCCTAGGCTCGACGACGGCCAGTGGCTGCATATGCCTCAATTGATCCATTAAACCGTCTATAAACGAATCATAATCCTCGTCCTGCTTTCCCGCCCCACTCATTTTCGAATTAGCCCTGCTCTTTTTCTTGGCCACGGCAACAGCTGATGCTCCCATCGCGTCCGGCATTTTTATGGGCCCACCACTTCCCTGCGCCATTGACAATCCCTGATGCTGTGCGGCTGCTGCAGCGGCGGCCGCGGCTTGCTGCTGCTGCTCCAGCTTTATTTGCCTGCGCTTGGCTTGATATTCGCGACGTTTGCGCTTCTTGATTTCCAACGCGGTTTCGTGTGCGGTTCGCATCGCCGCCTCATTCTGCTGCTGCTGCTGCTCCAGGGTCAGCGCAGGCGGTGCCGTTACGGCCGGCGTCGTGTCCATGATGAACTCCTCTTTGATAACGGTATCTTTCAAACTGCAGTGGTCTGACGAGACCGAAGACTGCTGAGAACTCTCGTCTAACGACAACTCCTTTTTGACATCTTGGGAAGGAATTATCATGTTGTGTACGGGGCTTTGCAAAGCATCCGGCGTCAAAATCTCTTTCTTTATTGTAATGCTTTGATGCTGTTCCATGTGTTGTTGTTGTTGTTGTTGAGAAGTTGCCGGCATGCAATTCATATCCATCTTCAGCTGCTGTATCAGTTGCTGTTGTTGACTGTTTATTAATAAATCTTGATGCTGTTGTTGTGATTGTTGCTGTTGTTGTTGTTGTAGTTGCTGCTGCTGATGTTGCTGTTGCACAATTCTTCTCACTTCAACATGCTGTTGCTGCTGCTGTTGCTGCGTTGTTTGCTGCGGTGTTCCAGTAACAACGGCATTAGCCGCAGTCGTAACAACAGGAGATCTGGATAAAAATGACGTTTCCCGTGACATGATTTGCCTGACGGGCGAAGATTTAGGTGAATCGCTCTGTGTGACATGCTGCATAGGCATAGATGCTGTGGCCTGAGCAGATGCCTGCAAGGCAGTTGTCGGAGGTGGTATAACAGGCCTTGCCAATTGTGCTTCTAAAGACGAAACCAATCCCAAACTTGGTGCACGTTGTTGCGTTTTCAGAACCTGTACAGTCGACCTTTGCGGTGGAGAAATCAATGTTTGATTATTCGAATGTGTAACTTGTTGCTGCTGCTGCTGTTGCGGCTGTTGTTGTTGATGATGATGCTGCGATGGTGTTGGGTTTACAACAACAGGCGGAGGCGGAGGCGGTGGTGCTGCTCCATTATTAGAATTCTGCAACAGCTGTTTCAATAATACATTCTGCGAATCTGAAGAAGTTTCAGGTTTCACATACTTGACATTACTCATCATAATTTCAGTTTTAATTTGCGACGATGATATCGTGCTGTCGTCCGACGTCGACGTAGGTTCGTTTTTGACAGTCATTAAATCCATGCTATGTCTCTTCACGGCTTGAATATGTCCAGGTTCAGTTTTAACAGGTAACAATACTTCGTCGGTCGACTTTGATCTTCTAAATGGAGGTCCAGTCAATTGGCTATGCAGAAGAGTTTGGCATGATGACATTTGTGGTTGTTGAACAACTTTTTGTTGTTGTATATTACTAAGCCCAGCACTTTGCTGCTGCTGCTGTTGCTGCTGTGTGGAAGTTGCTAGTAGCTGAGGCGGTTCTGCAATAAGCCTACTGGTCATTATCAAAGCAGGTGGTTGATTCATGCTAAAGGTGCTGACTCGGGATTGAGCAGGCTGTGAAAGAGTTGAACTCAAAATATTGCTAGCTACAGTAGGCCTTGCAGTCGTGTCCACTTGCATTTTCTGAGGTTGTATCTTTGTTAAATTAGGCATAACCATGCCTGTATTGCCTGCACTAGATGTTTGTTGCTGCTGTATGTGTAAAATTTTAGGTGAATGTAATGGAGACTTCACAGCGAGCAATTGGCAATGTTTAGAAGAGCTGCCTTCAACAGTAGACGGAGAAGGTTTGCGCTGTTTCATACTTAAAAGAACCGCTGCATTTGCTGTGTTGGTAACAACAGGAGACACTGTTCTTGAAGACGATTGGACAGTCATCCTGTTTCCACTCATTAAAATAGAACCAACAAAACCGCCTGCAGATGCTTCACTCGATGTCAGAACTTTGTGACATGTGGCTTAGAACTCAATAATTTTCCTGCATCCTGCTGCAATGTCAGTTTCATAAGGAGTGTTTTGTTGCGCGGATGCTCTGTGTCTTATGTACAACTTCTAACCTTGGTAGATGGTAAGAGTGTTTCAAAGTTAACTAGATCCGATTTCGAAGCTTCTTTAGCTTTCAAGTCAAACTTTGTGTTTGTGCCAATTGCTGACATTATTGTACACACTGCTGAGAAGCATTAGCAACATT